CTGATGACTGTATGTTGCTCCCTGATGACTGTATGTTGCTCCTTGATGACTGTATGTTGCTCCTGATGACCTTACGCTATCCTTAACTGAATGATTTCCCATATATATAAATACATACCTACAAATATTTAAGTCACCCTGTAATAACACTAAACTCAGCCCACGATATTCACCACGTCTCCCACACTAGACCCAGCCCACGATATTCACCACGTCTCCCATACTACACTCAGCCCACGATATTCACCACGTCTCCCACACACTAGACCCAGCCCACGATATTCACCACGTCTCCCATACACACTCAGCCCACGATATTCACCACGTCTCCACTACACTCAGCCTACGATATTCACCCGTCTCCACTAAACTCAGCCCACGATATTCACCACGTCTCCCACACTAGACTCAGCCCACGATACTCACCAAGTCTCCACACTACACTCAGCCTACGATATTCACCAAGTCTCCCCTAGGCTCAGCCCCACGATATTCACCACGTCTCCCACTAGACTCAGCCCGATACTCACCACGTCTCACACTACACTCAGCCTACGATATTCACCACGTCTCCCACCTAAGCTCAATAACGATACTCACCAAGTCTCCCACTACCTCAGCCACGATATTACCACGTCTCCCACACTAAACTCAACCCCGATATTCACCACGTCTCCCATACTACACTCAGCCCCGATATTCACCAAGTCCCACTACACTCAGCCTACGATATTCACCATCTCCCACTACACTCAGCCCACGATATTCACCCACGTCTCCCACACTAAACTCAGCCCACGATATTCACCCGTCTCCCACACTAGACTCAACACAATACTCACCAAGTCTCCCACCACTCAGCCTACGATACAAGTCTTACACTAGGCTCAGCCCACGATATTCACCGTCTCCCACACTAGACTCAGCCGATACTCACCACGTCTCCCTCCTCCAGCCTGATATTCACCACGTCTCCACTAAACCTCAATAACGATACTCACCAGTCTCCCACTACACTCAGCCACGATATTCACCACGTCTCCCACACTAAACTCAACACGATATTACCACGTCTCATACACACTCAGCCCACGATATTCACCACGTCTCCCACACTAGACCCAGCCCACGATATTCACCACGTCTCCCATACTACACTCAGCCCACGATATTCACCCACCTTTCCCACACTAAACTCAGCCAACGATACTCACCAAGTCTCCCACACTACACTCAGCCCACGATATTCACCACGTCTCCCACACTAAACTCAGCCCACGATATTCACCACGTCTCCCACACTAAACTCAGCCCACGATATTCACCACGTCTCCCACACTAAACTCAGCCCACGATATTCACCACCTCTCCCACACTACACTCAGCCCACGATACTCACCACGTCTCCCACACTAAACTCAGCCCACGATATTCACCATGTCTCCCACACTCAGACTCAGCCCACGATATTCACCAAGTCTCCCACACCACACCAGCCCACGACATTCACCACGTCTCCCACACTACTCTCAGCCCACGATACTCACCACGTCTCCCACACTAAACTCAGCCCAATTATTCACCACGTCTCCCACACTACACTCAGCCCACGACATTCACCTACGTCTCCACACTAAACTCAGCCCACGATATTCACCACGTCCCCACACTACACTCAGCCCACGATACTCACCACGTCTCCCACACTACACTCAGCCCACGATATTCACCACGTCTCCCACACTACACTCAGCCCACGATATTCACCACGTCTCCCACACTACACTCAGCCCACGATATTCACCACGTCTCCCACACTACACTCAGCCCACGATACTCACCACATCTCCCACACGGATGCAACACTGAATATATCACAAGCCATCCAGTTTTTTTCCTTTCATATATCATCATCATTACTCCAGCCAACTCTGCAATAATCTGAGTATATAAAGTTACCTCGTCACCACATCAAAGTCGTGACCACATCTTCCCTACGTCACTTTTATCAAATTCCTTCACTGTAATGGTTGGTGTAGAGTCGTTTATGTATGCACGATGGCGAATGCTAGTTGAGTTCTCTTGTTTCTGTGTTTATTTGGATTTAGTTTATCATTTAGTATTTAGTTTGTTTGTGATTGTTTTGTTGTGTGTTACTTTCTTATGAACCTTTTATGTTTGTGGTTGGTTGGTTCATACTGCATAACACGCTTTCTCACGTTTGTTCCAGGACAGGACTCGAACCTAGGACACCACACACACACACACACACACACAGAGGACTCGTACCTCTAGCAACATACCGTAGATGTGAATAATAGCCTCGTAACTTAACGTATTATAAGAGCAAAATTATTTCAACGCTGTATAACGTTCACCTGATTGGCTGACGGAGATGAGATGCGTTTGTGTTAACCTAGATATCTTCATTATTTAATATATTTTCGTCATATCCTCCAATTTTAAGTCATATAAGCAATTAAGTGTTGATCTAGAATGATATCAGAAGCCCAGGAAGTAAAAAAAATAACACGTGGAGCATATTGGTGACTTCGATATATTAAAGTGCAAACTCACCCCGGCGCGACTCGACCAATCACGAGCTTCCTTCTATTTGGCCCAGTTGCAAGCTTTGAGTGAACGCAGTAGATAGGTGGTGACTCTCTCTCTCTCTCTCTCTCTCTCTCTGTGAAAAAAAATCTGAGGCGAGTTTCACAAGGGGAGGAGGAGCTTCTGTTGGCTCACGTTACACAGGTCAGAGGTCAGAGTAACGTGGGAAATTTGATGAATCCTTCCCTCCCCTCTCCTTCCCCTCCCTCCCCTTCCTTCCCTTCCCTCCCCTCAGACGGGAGTGAATGTGCATGGCCAAGGAGATTTCTCAATCATGGGCCGGGTGGGAAGAATGTGCTGAAGTGAAGGAAGAAAAAGAAATGACTGGCGAAGCAAAAGTGAAGAAAATGAAGATCGATCATATGGAGTAAATGAAGGGAGAGAATGAGTAAAGAAGAAAATGAAATGGATAAGAATTGAAGGAAATGAAAGAGACAGATGAGAGTAAAGAATAAAAGGTAAAAATTTAAGAAATGAAGATAGAGAAAGAGGAGAGAAGGAAATGAAGAAACAGGTCAAAACTGAAGAAGAAGAAGAAGAAGAAGAAAGAATGAATAAGTAAACGAGGAAAAATTAGAAAATGCTACAAGTAAAAATACGAAAGAAAGAAAATAAAAAGGATGAAGAATGATTTGAAGATAAGAAGAAATTAAGAAAAGGACATTACAGAATAGGGTAAAAAATGAAGAAAAAAAGCGATAAAAAACGAAGAGTAACAAAAGGAAGAAACGTCTGACATTGGTGACCATAATCAAGTATATGTGTTTTTCAATTGCAACTACATTAGCCATCTGGTGCCTAGGAACAATGGTATTTACCGGATTGATAGATTATAAACAAGGAATCCGAGAATTGACTTTATTTACAATGTTATAAGAGCAATATCTCCTCTAATATATTGGTTTCAATGCCGTTTATCCATTCATGATGATCCATAATGTACCTGTCACTCAAAAAATTATCTGTACTTGTCACTCAAAAAACTATCTGTACTTGTCACTCAAAATATTGTCTGTACTTGTCACTCAAAAAACTATCTGTACTTGTCACTCAAAATATTGTCTGTACTTGTCACTCAAAAATCTATATGTACTTGTCACTCAAAAAACTATCTGTACTTGTCACTCAAAAAACTATCTGTACTTTGGGAATTTCAGAAGGAACACTACGATTCCTGTTGTCTCGGTAGGGTCACCAAAATCCTTCGTCCGTCGTGTCACAATTTCTAACACGATTTTGTATAGATAATTTTTTGAGTGACTGTACAGTACCTTACCCAGTGAATTTTTAAACCATGAAAACCAACTATGCCCCTTCCCCCCCCCCCCCTTAAGCACTGTCTACTGCAGGAAAAACTACGTAGGGGCAAAAACATGATATACCCCATTACATCTGATACACTGTGGATATATCGATGTTGTAACTCTCTCTCTCTCTCTCTCTCTCTCTCTCTCTCTCTCTCTCTCTCATTTATGTGTGTCGCGGGTGGAACAGTCAGTAAGAAAACCGAGTAATCAATATTTATTTCACACTCACCCTATCAGCGGTCTGTCTTTCTATCTTTCTATTTGTGTGTCTGTCTGCCTGTCTCTGTGTATCCGTCTATCTGTCTAAGTATGTTGGTCTGTGTGTGTGTGTATCTGTTTGTCTATCTGTATGTCTGTGTGTGTGTATCTGTTTGTCTATCTGTATGTCTGTGTGTGTGTATCTGTCTGTCTGTCCCGCCATACTCCCTCTTATTAATCTGGTTCACTGTTGTCTATACGCCGGCAGAAGGTATGTATCAGTGAAGGAAAGCTGAGTAATAAATTAAACTCTTATACCACACATTAACATATGTTATCTAAAACTCTCTTTCATATTTACTGAAATATAAAATAAAATATCCACCTTTGTTTTATTTTCTCCACTTTTCTTTCTAGTAAGTTATTCAGCCAATCAGACCTCGTCGTTTCCTCCTCATATACCTGTTGTATTTATAAACATACATCACCAGGGAACCAGCTTACCCTCTCTTGGTATTTCCGGGTTATATAAAAGTATTCCCGGTCAGTGATGGTCAGCTTCACCATCTGCCTCGTGGACAACATTCAATAAAGTATTATTTTATATTATATTACAAAGTGAATTTATTAATAATTATAAGCAGGAATTTGAAATAGATTATATATTAGAGTAATTGTTTATATTTTTAACTGATTTAACCGACTTTGCTGCTGGATGAAGTAGTCGAGGTTGTGTATATGATTATTATTATTATTGTTTATTTGGCTATAATGTTGGTTATATCTCTGTTTGTTTATCTTTTTATCTCCCCACTTTCTCCCCAACGCAAGCCAGTAACCACACCTCCCCAAAACAAGCCAGTAATCACCCCTTCTCCCCAACAGGCGTGTACTTCCACGTGGTAGGGGAAGGCGTGGTTAGAGTGGCAGACAGGCGGCAGCAAGTCTTCACGGATAAAGAAAACTACATTGACTTTCGCATGAGACTTCTTGGCGAACCAGGTGAGAGGGAAGGAGAGAGGGGGAGTGAGAGTGGGGAGGGAGTGAGGGGTGAGAGAGGGAGGAGGGGAAGGAGGGGGGAGGAGTGAGGGAGAGGGGGGTGACGGAGGGAGAAAGGATGGTGAGGAAGGAAGTGAGGATGATGAAGGGATTGGAAACTGAGGGAAGGAGTAGGAAAGAAGTCAGGGAGAGGTGAGGGAGGGAGAGAAAGAGATATATGAATTATATCAGTATTATAGTTACCTCGTCGGCCGTGTGTGTGTGTGTGTGTGTGTGTGTGTGTGTGTGTGTGTGGCGCTGTTCACTATGGTTAAAAACTCAGGATGTTGTGGATGGCGTGTGGACTGGGTAATATATCGGGTGTTTACAAATATTCTTCCCGATTTTAAACATTGCTATGAAAAAATAACATTGATCTTTTTTTTTTCCTTTGGGACTGTCAAAAATTAAGGTTTGTTCTACCAATGTCAACAAGTTTGGAGAATTTGAAGGAAAGAAAACGCGAAACTATTAGAAAAGTTTAGAATGTGTAAGAAAGTATGAAGGGAAACAGAATATTACTTTGATGTCTGCAGAGCCACAAAATGAAATAATATCGAACTTGCATAGCTTCAAGATATAACTGTTTGAGTTTTGTTAGTAATTTTTTTCTTCATAATAATTGTTTAAAATCGGGAAGATCATGAATATTGTGTGTGGGGGTAACAGTAAGGTTGACGACAAAGGAAAGTTTTGGTTAAATTTGTTCCTGTTTGTGTGTGTCTGAAAATGTATTACAGTTCTGTTATTCTTGTTCTTCGTTTATGTAATGTCTTCTAGTTTTCTCCACTTATATATTTCTGCCTGTGTTCTCCTTCTCTACCGTTTGGTACAACAAGAGAAATGCTCACCGTCTTCCCTCTTTTAAATGGTGTTTGGAAGACTTTTAATTTTGTATTTACAACAGTGAGTAATGAAATATGATACTTATTCTAATATATGTATTTAATTAGTTAACCATACATATAAATACAGTAACAGTATGATAAGAGACAGAGTGGGGAGAAGCTAGTGTGTGGTGTTTACGGCTAGGATGATACTAATATTCCTCTCCGGGCCAACTGAAGGAGAGAGACCAAGGTTTAGTGTGCCGGCCCTCGACAACTTTTTACTGGCTACCATTTTTGCACCCTAAAATGTCAGCGTTGAGTTTCCCACGGGTGACGTAAGCTGCGTGTCTCCATGCTGTACCTCTTTCATCATAAATCCTTCCTTAAAGACACCCAATATGTGGACGGAAGCATGTTTACATCACCCCTCTGCCTTGTGTGGGCGCGTATGGTGTCTCTCTCCTCCCAGTCGTCTGTCAGACCTCAGTTGTCCATGTTCTTAATCCTCCTTCTACTTCATTTTCGTCTTCTTTTTTGTTGTATCTTAATTTCTCCGTAATACATCCTTTGAAATACTCTTTTTTAAGCCGTGTTGTGTATAGTACTGTACATTAAGTCCTGTACCTCCATTCTCGTGTCTGTATATTCTTCTTCGTTTTATATTTTCATTTTGTATTGCCAGCCTGAACCTGAAGCAAACTGTCTAAATTTCGTTGCCTGTGGGAGAGGTTTTCATCATTTGTCTACAGATCATCTATTTTATCCCCATGGTTTTTTTTAGGTATATTTAAAATCTTCAAAACTATGATGCACTCTTCAAGACACAAATTCTTTAATAACTTGGACAAAGGTCAAACAACCTCAAAACACTGTTCCTTCTGGTTGCACAGTGTCTCCAAAAGGACTCGTATGCATCGTTTGGTAGTAATATGTACTCTTTCCAGACGAACGTTACCCCTTGGAGCCACAAGACGACCGAGATGATCGAAGCCGCATGAATCCGCGAATGAGCGCCACTAACTGCATTAATCTGCGAACTCGAGCCCCTTTACCCTGCTGGGGTCATGACTAATCAGTGGCATCTTCAGATAATAACTGTGTATCAAACTAATTCTTACTCTATTAATATTCTTCTAATGTCTAAAGCGAGTTTGTTTTACTGTGGTAACTTGATTGTGTGAATAAGATGGTTGTTTGGTAACATGTTCTTTCCGTCTGATTGAGATTTGCCACATCAGCTTTGCAATCTAACAGTAACAAACACAAGTGGAGAACAATGAATAGTGTATAAGACTCCAAACATATCCTGTTAATAACACAAACTGTATACATAGTCTTTGGAATTTTCTCTCCTTAATGCCTCGGTAAATAGTGCCGAAGATTTTCAGGACAACAGCCCAGTCAGTTGACTGTGTCTACTAGACGTCTTTGCTGCATAGTGCAGTTGCAGCAGCGGTTTGTTTTTATTTTCATGATTCATCCTCCAGGCACAAGGCTGTCTACAACAACACAGCTGTCATGGGCAACAGCTGGTAATTAATAAATGTCAACATTGTTAACATGTTATAAAACTTGTATTATTAATTTTAACTTACTGAAGTCCGAAATGACGCTACTTTTTCGACCGTATCATTAAGAATGGCAGTAACTAACTAACCAACCTACCTAACCTAGCAGTCTTGGAATGTTAAAATAATTTCAAGATACTTAGATGAGATTATCTTTGATATATGCGTTTTGTTTGTCATTAGTAATTTGAAGTCACAAACTACAAGTACGCACAAGTAATAATTATTCCATAAACACATTCATCAGAACAGCTGGTGCACTGGTTGTCGCGGGGAATGAACCGTGCGTGATATTGTTTACTGGAGGTGCAGCAGTATATGATGAATGGATGCGCGACCTATTTCACCCCCACACTTGTCATTTGTATTGAAGATAATAGCAAACCAAACTCAAGCGTTTACCTGCATTTTTTGATTTATTATTCTTGAGTGAGAAATGATTGTTAGTTTCACCAGGTTAAGCCATCGTGTAGACAGCAAGTTTTCTCCATATTGTACAGTAACTCGCCAACATTGTACAGTACCTATTCTACTAGATGCCTCATGCTCTAGTAAACAGTGTTTGTTTGTTTTTTCCTGCATGTATAAATGTTTATCCAATACATTAAAATTATCCTGACCAAAAAAAATAAGTACATAACTGATGCCAATGGTATAAGTATTGGATTAGATTCTGTGAAAAAAAAAGGAGGAAATTTTAAAACTGCACTGCCGCTTTTGGTTAATATGCTGTATGACTAAAGCTCACATTGGTGATTTAAATACAGTAATTGATCTTGTGGAAAGATGAAAAAATACCACACATGACCATATGCTTGAAAGTTTGTGCACATGGATAATGACTAATATTGACACAGATTCATATTAAAAAAAAAATCTGAGTTACTTTTCCCAGGCCCGCTGCTCCATGTTCACATGATGGTTATCTAACTTGTCTAGTCATTTGACTTCTCGGCGCTGGGGGAAGCTCTGATTCCGGTTGTATCTCGCGGCTCTCGCCTCTCCTGAAACTTGGATGTGGGTGACTATTGTAAATATTCTTTCTCAGACATTGTGAAATTAATACACAGTCGAACAATGATAATGCTTTGGACCTTTTTGTGAAGCTGACATTCTTAGAAAAACTGTAACCTTTACAGGGAAGAGAGACGCAGTTAACATACGGTGAGGTATTTAAGGTTAAGTTAATTTTAGTTTGGTTTGGAGAATCTTGCACTTAAGGACATAGGCAACAAAGAGATTCACAATAGATGCAGACATAGATTTCTGACAATCTAATCTACTTGTATATCTGAACTTGTATATCTGAACTTCAACTGACCAAAGCAGCTTCATCCAAACCTTTTCAAGTCTCCAGCTCCAACCTTTATACCTCTTTCCGTTCTAAGGGAGGTGTATGCGCCTACTGCAACACACGTACACCCTTATAGCTCAACTCACGGATCTTGAATCTCCTCTTTATGATGTCATCTGGCTCAAAATATCTCTACCACCCATGACTATTTTTCTTTGTTTCCTATACTGTTCTCCCAACTCTACCAACTATTTGGAACTCTTTGACTATCTCACTTCTTGCCATGAGTCGTTGCTATCCACACACCCCAACACCGAGATCCTCTACCTAGGGGATTTCAATGTACATCACAGAGAGTGGCTTGGCTCTGCAAGGGATGACCCAGGTGGAGCTGAGGCCTCTCCTTTTCCTTACCTAATGGTCTGCGGAACAAATAATTAAACACCCTACACGCGTTCCTGATCGACACGATCAACTTACTAACATTCTTGATCTTTGTTTTACCTCTAACCCTTCACACTATTCATACTCAATTTCTGCCCCCTTAGGATCTTCTGATTACAATCTTATTTCTATTAAATCAAACTAGGCACAACCACCTCCCCCACTCCCGTCTTAACGCCAACTATGGCACTATCGGAGGGCAAACTGGCAATCTTTGCGAGAATTCTTCTCCGACATTCCTCGGGATGAATGTTGCTTTTCCACTCAGGACGCCTCGGTATGTGCTGACAGCATTGCTGGGGTTTTACAGGGTAGTATGAGTGCATTTATCCCATCTTCCACCAAAACTTTCACTTTACAATCTTGGTTTGATCGCTCCTGTTCTCTTGCCTGTAGGGAGAGAGACAGGACATATGAAACTATCTCCTTCTCCATCTCTTTCGCCTTTGCCTCAAAACCCCATCTTTTCCTTCTTCTTGGAAGCATGCCTTGGTTCAGCCCATCCCGAATAAGGGTGACCATTCTAATCCCTCTAACTATCGCCCCATTACCCTAAATTCATCCTTTTCTAAGATTTTCGAAACTATCTTAAATTCTCATTTTCTCCTTGAACGCCATTCTCTTTAGTTGGATCACCAGTGTGGCTAACGCCAGGCGAGATCTGCTGGTCGTGGCCCTCGACATCTCCAAAGCATTTGACAGGGTATGGCACAAGTCTTTGCTTTCTAAACTTCTCTCTTGAGGTTTATCTCCACCACTTTGTTCTCTAATTTCTAGCTTCCTTGAGAACCGATCCATGGCAGTTGTTGCCGAGGGATCGATCTCTCGCTCTTTCTCTACCAATAGTGGTGTCCCACAGGGTTCTGCTCTTTCACCTACTCTCTTCCTTCTTTGTATCAATAATTTACTTCACACTACGACTAATTCTATCCATTCTTACACTGATGATTCTACTCTTCACTCCTCTTCACATTGTCCCCTTCCCCTAATTCTCAAACTAGATCTGTTTCTAGAGCTGACATCATTACATCTATCAATGTGGACCTGTGCAGCATCTCCGAATGGGGAGGTAGAAACTTGGTTAAATTCAATAGTAAAACTCAGTATTTTCCAATTGCACTTTCCAAATTAGATGATTTCCCACCAATCACATTTCAGGACGCAATCATTCAGCTAAATTCTAAAATAGATATGCTAGGCCTCACCATTTCCTCTAATATGTCATGGAAGCCACACATCCACAACTTTGCTAAAGCTGCCTCCCGAAAGCTGGGAATGTTGTACAGATGTCGCAGCTACTTCACTCCTGAGCAGTTTCTTCAAGTATATAAGGGATTCATTCGTCCTAACTTGGAGTACTGCTCTCATATCTGGGGTGGCAGCACAGGTTATGTGTTACCAGACGAACCTTACCCTACCATATAACAACGCTGACTTCACTATAATGTTGAAGCCAAACGCCAAGAAACGACAGTTGTTATGATCTATACTGTACAGTACCGGACTAAAAGCTGTTCCCAGGAAACCGACAATGAATGTACACCAGCGGCGAGTCATTCATCGATAGCCAGTAATTTTTACCCAGTAGAGTGTGAAGGTATATATTATGTGGACGACGACCCAACTCACAGTGCCAGTCTTGAAGCCGAGTATGATCAGCTGGTATATATTATGTGGACGACGACCCAACTCACAGTGCCAGTCTTGAAGCCGAGTATGATCAGCTGGTATATATTATGTGGACGACGACCCAACTCACAGTGTCAGTCTTGAAGCCGAGTATGATCAGCTGGTATATATTATGTGGACGACGACCCAACTCACAGTGTCAGTCTTGAAGCCGAGTATGATCAGTGGTATATATTATGTGGACGACGACCCAACTCACGTGTCAGTCTTGAAGCCGAGTATGATCAGGTGGTATATATTATGTGGACGACGACCCAACTCACAGTGTCAGTCTTGAAGCCGAGTATGATCAGCTGGTATATATTATGTGGACGACGACCCAACTCACAGTGTCATTCTTGAAGCCGAGTATGATCAGCTGGTATATATTATGTGGACGACGACCCAACTCACAGTGTCAGTCTTGAAGCCGAGTATGATCACCTTTCTAGTATTCCTTCAACTTTCTGTGTTCCATATAGTTTAGCTTGGCACTTCCTACACGGCTGAGCTTCATGTTATTCTTTGTATGTGACCTTTTTACTTAACTCTTAAGGCATTCTTTATATTAATTCTTCTCTACATTTGCTAACCTAGTTTGGCTACATTGTTACTCTAGTCGACCATCAACTCAGTGTTCTGCCTTTTCTTCCGATATGAATAACCTCGTATATCCTTTTCTTGGCCACAAATGATCCACATCCACATTTGCTTAAAATATCACATCTTACAATAATTAAGTGAATAGTTCTCAGTGATATAGGAATCCCTGCCTTATAATCTACGTCAGTTCAAATCTTCCTGCCTCGGATATCTTCAGTCTTTGATGCCTCGGTGAATAGATCAGACGGTCACTTATCTGAGTTCTCCCTTCTCTTTTGATTTTCTAATGCAGATCAATAACACGGAATATATGGGGATAAATTAATCAGGGTCGGAGGGACCAGCATCACCTCCCTCTTGCTCTCCATCCTTGGCTTATTGATCTAGACACCTTTCAGGCATCTCCCAATCTCTAATAAATGTCTTTGACCTCATGGTACAGCGCCTGCGGTACCATTTCCACGACATTTGGATCCATTTGCAGATACATGATCCTTGGAAAGTGTTGGGCAGATAGTTTGCTGGGTTAATGACTTTCCTTCCTCAATTCAACTCCATAAAAACTTTAAAATGTCTTCCATAAGCTCCACTCCTCCAGTCCCTGGTCGCACCTCTCTATACGTGGTGGTGTTCATTGGTTAAAGCCATATCTCTCTTGGGGCTAAAATGGTCAGACAGTGGATGTTAGGCAGCTGCATAGTCACATCTTAAATATTTTTATTAGTAAATTCATCCACATCCTATTGAATTAGTACCTAGTTCGTACTGTAGTTATCTCGACCTTATACAGTGTCTTTACTATAGTACATTCATCCATGTCGTAGTGGTTTTGTTAGTACAATTGTATAGTCACCCAGATCTTGGTAGCTTTACTTGTAGGTTCACCCTGGCCTTGTGTCAATATCCCCAGCCTCTTAAGATTAACCCACGCATTAAAACAGATCCATCCTGGGATATTTTGGATCTAATTTTTCTTTTTTCTTGGTCAGGTCAAGGCCCCATTCTGCTGTCTCCTGGGATCCACAGTTTCCCATTTAAGTTGGGTCTGCCTCTGGGTCTGCCATCCACCTTCCTGGGCAAACATGGCTGGGTGCAGTACTTCTGTAAGGCGGCGCTGAGGGAACCCAATGGTCTCACCCACAAGAACCAGCAAGTGTTTATTGTCATGAACCCCATCGACCTCAACCTGGAGCCTTCCATCCTCGCAGTGAGTGACACACAACAGTTACCTCCTCAGTCTAGAGTTAAACCATCGCCCTCGGAGAAGGTTAAACCATCTTCCTCAGAGAAGGTTAAACCATCTTCCTCAGAGTTAAATCATCTTCTTCAAAGTTAAATCATCGTCCCCAGAGTTAAATCATCGTCCCCAGAGTTAAATCGTCGTCCTTAGAAGGTTAAATCATCGCCTTCAGAGGGTCAAACCATCGTCCTTAAAGGGTTAAAACATCATCCTCAGGGGGTTAAACTTTTCGTCAAAGGATAAAAACCATCATCCTTTGGGGGGTTAAACCATTGCCCTCATAGGGTTAAAACACCTCAAAAAGGCTAAACCATCTTAAAGAGTTAAATCATCTTCCTCAATGGGTTAAAATCATCGTCCTCAGATGGGTTAACTGACCCGGAAGCTGATCCACTTACAACCTGTACTTAAAAAAAAATAATAACTCTAACTCGGGAAATATTTTCATTTTGACTCAACGGACACAGTATATCCATCTGGCTTTTGAGAGCAAGAATTAGAGAGTTGGATTAAATGAAATGAACGAACACTTGAATAAATATGAGTTTTAACCTGTTGTCCTATCGTCTTATTTTCGTGTTTACGTTCTTACATCAGTGTGTGTGAGGCTTGAGTTTGTGTCATGTTTGTTTGACCTGTGTGTGTGTGTGTGTGTGTGTGTGTTTTATCAGAAGACGAGTTTGACTTTGTTCATCCGTTTTTCATTATTGGTCGCCATACTGCCTGCTAGATCTGCCAGTCCTTACATAAGATAAACCTCATTCACCTCCTCCAAATTAATGTCTTCTTCTCATGATCAAACCTTAAGACAATAAAAAATCTAACCCACTTGTAAATTAACTCTACGGAGGTTTTTTCATTTTTTTTTTTTGTTAGGCTCTAGAACAAAGCCAAACTTGACCCAACTTTACAAGGTGTTAGAGAGTGGTGGATCCAGCACGGTGACACTGAGTAGGAGGGCGGGGTAGTGTTGAGTTTGGTGATTTAATGTAAAGAATTTTATTTACTCTACTTTATCGCCAATTAATCGTAAACAAAAATATTAACACTATTAAGGTTATACATATAAACACGACATCATTATTAGCCATTATTGATATCCAAAGAAAAAACTGAAACACTGTATATAAGTTATTAATTGATAAAAGGAAAATATATTAGAAATATTATCTAGATCAATGAACTTAATGACCTATCTTTATATTGTAAAAGATACTACTGATTATTAAATGTGTTCGTATGGCAGTTCACTACAACCTTCACAAGAGGATTTTTGTGTTTATGTGGCAGAGACTCCAGAAGCTTGGTATATGTCGTCCTGTAGATTATTGAGATACAGTTTAGGTCTTTAGGATTTATCCAAGAAGCCCTCAAGTAACTCATTCCGCGTACAGTATCAGAGTTTCATTTTGTTCTAAGGCTTAAGGGCGAGAGTTTTCCTGTAATTGGAATATAATCTTCCTCGGGATTCTGTCACTATTGTGCCTAACTGTGGTTGTAATATTGTCACCCTCGTTTCTTGACCTCCCGCCCCCTCCCCATACACACACAGACAAGGGAGAGAAACAAATATATTTATTGTGTATTTGTTCTGACAAAATCTATGATTCATCACAGGTATTGAGACTTACGAGCCCACTGTTGATTTTTTTTCTTATGGTTGGATTATATCGTGTGGGAAAGTGTGTACAGGACGGCAGTGAAATCTTGTTAATGTACAGTATTGTTACTCTAGCATCTAATGTCTGTCTCCTCCTCAGCAACCATTCCACTGTGAGATCGAGCACAAGCTTGGCATGACGTGCTTGTCTCAGGGCCCCGTGTCGTGTCGTGTGAGGCTGGACCGTGGCGGTTACGTACCCGGGGAGACCATCAGTATATGGGCACGTGTCCACAACCAGAGCAAAGTTACCATCAAGCGTACACGGGCGTGTCTCACTGAGGTAGGTCTGACTCTCTCACTGTACACGGTTCACCTCAAGTCTACAAGCTACAAAAACTGATGAGTTGTCAAACCTTCACCAAACTTATTGTGTTTAGTGGTTAATAAGGTCATACTTATATAAGTTACATTATATTGATTGTATGGATGTACTGCGTGTATTTATTTTAATTCATTGTTTATATCAGTCACACAATTCATTTTATTAATAAATACATTCACAGTTCATTCTTATATATCACTGACCATTTACAGGTGCATTTCATGAACAATATGTTATCTGGTGCAGCAGCCAGTTGTGACTGTTTAGCCAGGGTCGAGATAGTGGTGCGCGGGCCAGCTGGCTTCAGTCTGGCCTGTGCGTATCATTGCCCGTGCCGCCTCCAGTCATAAAACCTTGCTGGCGATGCACTTGACTGCATTTTAATTCCCTAGCTGTAAAGTCTGCTGGGTGGAATGAGTAAGCCCTTAAAAAAACGGTACAGTGTTAGGAGCAACAACCATCACTTGGGGCCTGAGGCTTAATGGGCCATGGCATCTCTTATCTATGAGCACCACCAAACCTATCATACGACACCGTCACAAACTGTCATTACAAGTTTCAAACCTCAGCTCCAGCCACTGTTCTGAGCTGAACAAACATTGATCATAATGACACTCAGAGCTGCCCCAAGCAGGACTCTGGTGGCGGGGCGGATGGTGGTGGTGATGCATTCATCGGCCGAGATCATTTTCTATTTTACAGTGATGAGAGCGGAGTTGAGTGTATCTCCCTGTATTATCGCTTGTCTTATGTCTCCAGAAACCGAATCCATCAAACTCACCAGAGTTCTGTCATCTGGGAACCAGATGTTGAGTTTGGTAGATATACTGTATTGTGTATGAGCTCTTTTATTGTTAGGAAGAAGAGCTATGGGGTGAGGGTATCCTTTATCTGAATGGTTTCTGCTAAAGTAAACTCCTGGTCACTAGGTCAGGATTGGGTCCACACTGAAGCTGCAGAAGACAGGAAGACGGTAGATGGACGCTCTTCATCACCTCATCTTTTTTGGCCTGATTGAAAATATTCTTGAAATCTAAACTGACTAACAAATCTTTGTCTCTGGTGACAGTGATGTCGATAATAATGGTCGTCACCACACACACTGTTGCTTCACATTTAAATTTTCTTCTGGTACTAAAAATCATTATGTAACAAATCATAAAGTTATATGTGAGTAAACCAAACCCCCAAAAACATAACAATAAGAATACCTGTACAACATAACCACTTGATGGCCAGTTATCTCTTATTTATTTATCTTTACTTCCTTTGTTAACTCATGAAGTGTGGAAATGGTAATTTGTACATTATGGAAGACTCGGGACATACAGTATAACCAATGGAGTCAACAAAGTTACAATGAAACTCTGTGACTGTGGAAAGCTGTACTGTGTATTTACTTTATTTTATTGCGATTTTAGGTCTTATATTGTATAGAATATCATGAAGGTTTAACACCCAAGCTTTAGCTCCTCATAGCTCCCGGGGTGCATAACCTTCACGAGACCCCTTTAATGTACTGTACTATACAGAGATTCTAACAACTGTAGATATTGAGCTTGTTTATTCATCTGTGTCATGAGAGCAAGGCTGACAGAGTACTATTGGTAATTTCCTTTTATTCTACAGACAATTCAGTACATCTCCAAGAGCAAGGTAGTGCAGACGGAGACCAGGGAGTTGTCGTCAGTGTCGAGGGGGAAAGTTAAATCGAAGGATACAGATGACTGGAAATACGAGCAGTTGTATGTGCCGCCACTGCCACCAACTAACCTCCGAGGCTGCCATCTTATAAGAATACAATATGATGTGTTTGTGAGTATTAGTACAGTACTGTATTTTATTTAGTCTCATTGATATATTTAACCCCTCGGACTCACTTGTGATGGGTAAGGGATATAGTGATCGATTTGTGATTTTCGGTTTGTTTGTTTGTTATAATTTTTGTAATATCACCTTCACCAACATTTTTTTTTTCAACATAATTTCTTGCCATTTAAAAGAACGGTGCATGTGGATGGGTGATGCTTACATGGCTTTGCTCCCATGAGTGTGTCTCTGTCTGTCTGTCTGTCTTTGTGAAATGGTAACTTAAGAATGGCACTTGAGAAAAATCCACCATCTATCAATAAGAAGCAAACATTATGTCCTTAGTATTTAAGTTTATGACGTAATGGACATAGTGGATTATTTTTGTGTGGTGAAAGTGTACCAGTAACGTGTGTGTCACCCAACCCACACCCACCCCCTCCTGTAACACCCAACCCACACCCACCCCGTCCTGTAACACCCAACCCACACCCACCCTCCTGTAACCCACACCCACCCTCCTGCAACACCCACACCCACCCTCCTGTAACACCCAACCCACACCCACCCCCCTCCTGTAACACAACCCACACCCACCCCCTCCTGTAACACCCAACCCACACACACCCTCCTTCCTCTAACACCCATCCCACACACACACCTTCCCCCCCTGTAGATTAGGTTTAGTTAGGTTAGGTTAGGTTAGGTTAGGTTAATGGACTTTACAGTGTAAATATCTCCAGCTCGATAAGCCCCATAATACAATGTGAATATCTCAGTTGACTACATACTATATTAGCACGACATATTAACATTGACCGTGATTTTATACCTTAAAGAAGCGATTAATCTTACAGTGTATCGTTTCCTCAAGGTTAATAATTAATACGTGTGTCAAGCCTCCAGCTGAATCATCCCTCGTGTGTTTCTGGGAATCCGGTTTCATATCCGCATTTTACTTTTTAATTTAATTTTTTATTTTATTCTTGAATGGTGTTTATGATCTTGTGTTAACTTAAGCACGTCTCTGTGGATGTTATGATGGTCGATACTAGGTAGTGTATATGTTACTGCTACTGTACCTTATACTCATTATTACGAGTACTAACACAACTACTACTGTCACTTCTACTACTGAAACTAGTACTGTCTTTGGAGGGAGTAAGGGAAGTTGAATGACAGTACTAGGGATTAGGGATAGTGTCAAAAGTTAGGGGTGTTGGTAGGAATAGTGTCAGGGGTCAGGGGTGTTGGTAGGAATAGTGTAAGAAGTCAGGGATGGTCGTAGGAATAGTGTCAAAAGTCAGGTAAGGTAGTAGGAGCAGTGCCAGGTAGGTACTAGTGTGTGTGTGTGTGTGTGTGTGTGTGTGTGTGTGTGTGTGACTACATCATTGTCAGAGAAAGAGATCGCCGAGATGTCCTCATCACCTGAGCCATGCGTGGCTCAGACCACTGCGACACTGATCATCGGCTCGTCAGAGCTAAGCTCTCACTTCACGTCGACCCAAAACGGCGAAGGCAGCAAGCCTCCAGAAGAGGATTTAACACGAAGCAGCTGAGGGATCCAGCGGTAGCACATCCTTTCAGAGAGCATCTTGATCTTGGGCTGATAAACAACCCGACAACAAACAACCTAAATCCCAGTGCCGAATGGGATATTCTCGACACTGTCATGACAAAAACATGCAGAGAGAACCTCGGTCAGATCGAAAGAATACACCAGAACTGGTTTGATGAAAATGACCTGGCAATCAATGTACTCGTCAATGACTGGCAGAACAACCCTCAGCCTTGGACCAAAACTGACACCTTCCGCAAGAAGAAAGCGGCGGCCCAGTGGGAACTTTGCAACCTAAGAACGACTGGTTTAAAAATAAAGCAGGTGAAACACAAAAATTGCAGGTCAACACAAGTTGCGTGAATTTTTCAATTCCACTAAAACATTTTATGGGCCAATCACTCGTGGTGCAGCCCCTCTCTGCTCATCAGACAGTAAATGCATAATCAAAGACGATGAAGGCCTCCTTCAGTGCTGGAAAGAGCACTACCATTCACTGCTCAACCGAAACACCGATGTGCATGTCCTGACTACCCAGCAGGTCCCTCAGCATCCAGAGCTGACCCACCTCAGCTATCCTCCATCCCTGGATGAGGTAGCTACTGCCATCAAACAGATGGAAAATAATAAAGCCCCAGGGCCTGATGGAATCCCAGCCAAGGTGTATAAAGCAGGAGGACCTCTGCTTATCAGCCGTCTCCACTCTCTCCTGGAGAATATATGGGAAAGGGAGGAAATCTCCCAAGCTCTTACAGACGCCTCCATCGTCAATATTTATAAGAACAAGGGAGACCGGTCAGACTGTGGCAACTACCGCGGGATCTCGCTGCTCTCTGTAGCTGGTACTGGTAAGATTATCGCTCGAGTCCTCCTCGAGCGGAAAACTTTCTCCCAGAATCTCAATGTGGCTTTAGACAATCACGTGGCACCACTGACATGATCTTTGCTGCCCGTCAGATACAGGAAAAGTGCAGAGAACAGCGTCGTGACCTGTACATAGCTTTCATCGACCTAACCAAGGCCTTCGACTTGGTCAAAAGGAAGCCCTCTGGTGGACCCTTAACCGCTTTGGCTGCTCACCAAATTTCATCGCCTTTGTGAGGCAACTCCACGATGGCATGAAAGGCAGTGTCCTGCACAATGGCACCCAGTCTGAATTCTTCCCCATTCAAACGGGGGTTAAACAAGGGTGTGTACTGGCACCAACTCTCTTTTCCATCTTCTTGGCTGCCTTCCTTACTCGTGCCAGTGCCAATTTAGCTTGCGGGGTGAACATCAAGTACCGGAGGAAGGGTCTTTTCAACATAAGATAACTCCAGGCGGGAACAAAGGTGTCGACAGCTTCCATTACTGAGCTGCTGCCGCCCCTCCTGCACTAGATGTAGCCCCCCTCATGTGCAACATCTGTGGACGACCCTGCCGGTCCCGTATCAGTCTCTTTAGTCACCTTAGAACTCACCAACGTAGGTGACATCCTTAATAACCCATATAATTTCATCATAGCTGGATGATCGTCATACTCGATACTCGATTCCAAGTGACAACAAGGTAGTAATGTGTGTGTGTGTGTGTGTGTGTGTGTGTGTGTGTGTGTGTGACCAAAAGAAAAATGCTCATGTGAAAGAGGCCTTACCAATGAACACAAAAATCCAGTTTCAAATAACTCTTAATATACTGTACCGTGTTCATGTTATTGTTTTGATACTCTTGCAACTAACATTTGGTGATGATCTCTTAGTTAAAAACAAAACTTTGCTCAGGTTTCTTGGTCACCTGTTTCATATTGGTCACCTGTTTCATATTGTACCTTAATGATGTTCTGTTATAAAATGTATTAAATCACAAACATCTTTTACCAGTTCATCATCGAGCCAAACAACTTGGAGAAGGAGATCAAGTTACAACTACCAATTATGATGGCCACCTACCCGTACCGCAACTCTGACGGTACACTGAAGAAGAAGAAAGGGGCACAGTACCCCAACAACCTACCCATCTTTAGGCCCTGGCTCAATGAAAAGTCTTTTGAGTGATGTTGTGGACGTGATTGTAGCAATAGGATGCTGTTGCCAGATGCTGAAAAATGCATAAATGCTCAATGCTCAGATTTGCCTTCAATGCCATATATGCTTCAGTATTGCTTATGTAGGTAGTATTCACTTGATTGTGTAAACTACAGGTGAAAAACAACTTTGAGAAGGCAAGACTATACAAAGATGTAAGAGTTACTGTTTCAAACTGTTTTACAAGATGATTAATTATGAAGAACATTATGAAAAATTTGAAAATTTTAGAATATGAATAAAGCAAGTTTGTCTATTAGTCCAGTGCAATTAACTAATTTTGAGAGAAAACCTAGACATTTAGAATAACATGCTGAAACCTTGAGGGTATGGAGAGGAAACCTTCCTAACTCATATGCTAAAAGTCCCCCAAAATCTGGTCGCGGGTTTTCTCGTTATCGTAAAAAAAAAAAATGGCAGCCATCTTTGATTTTGGCATTTGATTTTTGATTGCTGCTAGCAGACGAACCGACGGACTTATCGAGTTTTTCTTAATGAGTGCTCTTTAAATCCCATCTCCTTTTATTGATACAAAATATAAATATCGAAGTCCTTCAATAATAATGTAATTTTTTTATTTTTTGTGAAGATTTAAAAAAATACAGCGTTTTATTATTTACTCTTGCCTAGACATAGATAGAAAATGTCTTTCAATAAAAGTTGTAGAACATTTCAAAGTCAATACATACTCATACAATATAGAACACCCTGCTTGAGGCATGCCAAAGATGTTGCAAAATACAAAAGATTTGCATTACATATTTTCCTAAGTAAAGAAATCTGCGTTGATGGTTTTTATTAGCTTAGGGACCAGTGCATAACCAGAAAGTTTTAGCTTGCTATTTAAAAAGTTTAGATCATAATGCAATTACAACATCCTCTTTTGATGAACCTCTAAAAATGGCCTAAAGACATGCTATGTATCTGTGTGAGATTACTGCACCATTGGATGATGTCGTTCAATCTAGTGCCTTGCAGAACGTTGTGGATCAATCATAAGCTAAGATCAGAGATGGCTGCCATTATTTCATGACAACGAGAAAACCTGCAACCATTTTTTTTCAACTTTCACCATATAAGTTAGGAAGGTCTTCTCCTCATACAGTACCCTCAAAGTTTCATCTTGTTCTGAAGGTCTAGGTCAAATCGTAATTGCACTGGACTATATGTATTTCTTAATACGTCTGTAACTGAAGCTAGAAAATTATCATGTGCTTTGTATATATATGTATAGATTTATGTATTTGGACAGAGTATATTGTGTCGGTAAAGAACAAGTATCAGATAGAAAAATGGTCTGTAACTTAAGTGAGAATCGATGGTATTAACTCGCTATACATAATTAGGATACTGTAATATTTGCTTATCATTAAACATGTAGTCATCTCTCCTGTGCACTATTTTTATCAGGCTTTATGAACAAGCTTTTCATATTACAGCTAGAATAGTAAAATACTGTACTGTACTGTCTTATGTTTTCTGAATATTTACTTGTTATATTTTTACTTTTATCATCTTCGCCACTGATCGGCTCGTTAGCCGTTTGGTTTCCTGAATGTATCTCATTCATTATTTTTAGTCATAAAATTGCCTCCATAAAATAAATATACCTGGTATGGAAAAATTAACCTTCATATATTCTTCAAATCTTATTTTTTACATAACCTTTTTATCGTAATTTACGATGTAACCTAATATGGCATGACCAACCGCACAAGCAGCTAACGAGCCGATCAGTGGCAAAGAGGATAAAAACTGAAGATGGCATCAAGATACAACAGAATTTATCCCATGGATGATAGCAGCGACAAGAGCAATGTTGAGCCTCAGCTCACTAGGAGAGGCAGGAAATAGAGATCATTCATGCATCTACCGAACAAGATCTTAAGAGGCTCAACAAGCTCGTTGCACTCTGGGATGCACTTTTAGTTTTGACAATGTATTTCTTATGCCCTCTTCTGAGAACACAATGTAGGTCAACGATGTGTCAAAACGTCTTTCCTCACATCCAAGAAGATTGTCCGCATCCTCCCTCATGAATACTGAGGAAAAGAATTTGTCTTGTATTTAATTTTGATTTTGCGTAATGGTAGAAAACCTTTGAGTTTTACTTAACCTCACTTGCCATCGCCTCTGGAACTCTTTCTCAGCCCTTCTACACTCTGACTTTGCTTGGTTTCTGGACCTGGCATATATCCTCCCGTCCTGCTCGTCATTTGTCATAACCCATCTCTTGAATTTCTAAGATTTTCTCTTAACTTTTTTCAACCTCTGCATAGTTCATATGTAATGGTCTCCTTGTATTCCTGGAGACAATGGGTTTGGACTTGGGTATATATTTGTCAATCAAATACAGTAGTTCACACTACTGGCTATGATATTTAACATAGTGTCTGTGTTCTTGTATCTCATCCCGTTGTAGTCGCCTTTGTAATATTTGAACCTTGGCCTGCTTTTATCGTGAACCAAGTAACAGTTAAATCTGAAAGACAATGTTACGTGGTGGCTGGTGCCGATGGGAACTAGAGGTTCCAACTTGGCCACCATACCCTCCTCGTGAGTTATGATGAGGACTAGCGATTTGGGTGTTTGTTCCCTCTGTAGTGAGTCAGATCCTTAACATGTTGGAATAGAAGATTGTCTCTCAGAGTTTCTACAAAAAGGATAGCGGGATTATTAAGGTCATTTGGAGTGGTCCCATTTCTCCAGTCGATGCCGCCATAGTTAAAGTCTCTCATGACAAGGAGGTGGCTAGGGTTGAGCGCTGTTGCATTGTCAATTAAGATTCTTTGGTTTAATAAGCTACAAGTTGTGATCTGTAGATACAGCGAACAATGAGTAAGTCTTTTCCCTTTAGTTTATTTTTATATCACTTCGATTCTTCAAAAGCATCCTCCCTCTTCACCCTCACCTGGCTGGCTCTAAGGTCTTGCCTAGTATAGATAACCACACCCGTCGTGCAAGTTGCCTGAGAAAGGTTTGAAAATGAGTTATATCCCTCAGTATTGAACTTACATTCCTCCTCTACAACACCTACTATAACAGGTTGATGTGTCTTGAGAATTGTTTCAGTCTCTGTTTTTTGTATCAAAGGAATTTACTTCCAGACGTGCTACAGTTTTATTCTAGATTATTTGTGACAATATAGGACCTTTAAATGTACGATACCCAGTGTGCAGGTGATAAGAACCTTTAACTCCCACTACTCAGCTGCGCCTACATTCCAACATAGGCCTCCTCAGTGCCTGGTGTGTAGGTGGCTGGGTGATGATGCCAACCACTGTAACCTCTCACTTTATTCTAAGGAAGAAACCACCCTATTACTGGGATGACTTCCTTTATAAACACACCTCCTACTAGATGTAATCAAAGCGTACTGTACTAAGATATGCGTGCATTTGTGCCCGAATGTTAGAAGAATGTCATTTAAAAGACACTTAGCTGTCCTGCTGGTCTTGACTTCGTTTGACCAGTGTTGCTGTCTGGGAAAGTTTTTTTTTCTCCCAAATTGTTTTATTTATTTGTTCCCAGTTTTCCTCGACGGGTTGTTGGTATCAGTATGTGCTCCTTAAAAGTAATCGTCGCCACAGTAGATTTTCCTATGAGTGGTGGATCATATGCACAATCACAGCTCTTTAGAAAACAGAGGAATTTATTTCTATGTGGCATCAATGTTGTTTCCTCGTTACCTCCAGGCACTCATCCCTGCTGTTTCCTCTAATTTATGCCACTTATGCACAATCACAGCTCTTTAGAAAACATAGGAATTTATTTCTATGTGGCATCAATGTTGTTTCCTCGTTACCTCCAGGCACTCATCCCTGCTGTTTCCTTTAATTTATGCCACTTATTTTTTTTTGTCACGTTTCCACAGTAGTCACTGCTGTCACTAATGACTGTCTTAGCTGAAGGCACAGTATTACACTCTCTGATCGACCTATGGACACGTCTAATTTAAATTTTTTGTATAAATCTCGGCATATGGCATTTATTTTAGAGTTGTACCCACACAGCTTAGCACTGGTCAAGTAGAAAGAATATTTCAATCTTTGATTGCAAGAACAACAAAAATGCTGTATTAATTTACACAATCACATCATCAAGACGCTGAGAGTGATAGGCTGAATAGCGTTAATGTCAAAATATTTATGCTTAGTTAACAAGTATTTATTACAAGTAAGGTGCACAGTACCTCACATCTATCACACATGGTCTTTCACCCTCGTGTTCGGCGACAACACAGGTACAAGAAAGCACACAAAGTCCCCAGCTGCACTGCACTTGATCCACTGCTTCTCCTGTTATGAATAAGCTGTAATTCCTACTGTTACATCTAATGGGTCCTTTTTTTCATAAATGCTGTATTTTATTATCAGGCGTGTGCTGTACAGTATCTTATTAGTCCTCATTTAAAGCAAAAATATTATTTTATTGGTTATGCCTAATTCCGTAAATCATTTAAGCTTCAGTTCATTTTTCAGCAATTGTAGTCTGAATAGTTTTATAAAAAAGTATAATTTATTCATTTGGATGGTGCTTTCCGGTACACAGTACAGTACAAAGTGCTATACTGCATATGAAGGAGAAAATAATGTGGATTAAGTTTGTAGTGTTCAAGCAGTTTTGGTAATACCCTGTACAGTACATTATTCTGATTCACTGTACACTAAGGTGTACAGTATAGTACAGATACTGTAGTTTCATAAAACAATGTTCATTAACTTGTATATTTCATTGTGTCATGATACAAAACATATACAGGTACTGTATAATATTGGGGTAATATATTTATAGTCCACTGAACTGAAAGTTGTATCCCATTAATATATGACAGAGTAGTTATTATGAATATTCTTCTTCTTGTGAGTTTGCTGTTAGTTGTGTGAGAAATTATGGTTTTCACTAATACTGGTAAATATTTTCACTTTTGATTAAATTTTTAGTAGAAATGCTACCAATTTGGGTTAGTTGTATTTTTTTTTTAAAAGGTTGCCCCCTTAAAGATTAAACTTTCAATAGATGTCCCCATATGTAACTCAGTGATGAGAGGAGTGATGCGTCTCCTGCAGGAAGATTCACACTCATAATATAAGCATCATAATACTGTATCCAAGGATGGAAGTTTTAAAATCATGAACATAACTTGTCTCCAAAGACCTGCAATAATTAGATTTATCAAGAATTCTTTCGTTAAGTTCAGTGAGTTGTTAAAGTGTCTGTTAACTTCTTTTGCAGTAAGTAAATTTGACCCATATTGGACGAATTAGAAATGTCCATCTTGTGTTATTTGTATGACTTTCCATCATTTATGAATAAGTGGTTTCTTTCTCTTTGTTATGTCTGGCAACACTTTGTCATTAACACCTGTCACCTCACATAACAGTCAGTCCTATCATGGCATTCTAAGTCATTATCATTTATTCATCTCACACCACTTGTGCCATTGTGACTGACACCTTCTCATTCTCTGTGAAGTGCTTAAAGCTTACCACTTATACTGAATTACTTTATCCTGCTGTTAATATTTGATCATAATGGTAGTTGTAACAGTGATTGAGAAGTTTGATGAAAACATATGAAAAACTACACTTATTAAAGGACATTATTCATAAAGCCAAATGTTCTGTTATTATTTAGTTTTGCTAAGTTACTTAAAATTAATCTTAGGAATTAACATAAAAGGAACTTAATGAAAATATTCTTAACTATGGTTCAAGACGAGATGACCCCTGATTTTTGTTTAACTAAACAGACAGATTTAATCAAGCACAGTTGGATGTGCCACGAGGGTGAAACAATAATGTGTTAGGTTTAGACCCTGACACATGGTTAGCTTTGTTTTCTTCTTTCCTTTTGTTGTTATTTTTCAGTAAATTCTCTGTTATACTTTTAGTAACACAATCATTGATCACTGTTGGTCAGGCTTAAACGTAAGGGAGCTTGCACTTGGTATATGCTGTCACAACATTCCTTGGCAGATTATAAAGTACCAGGAGCATTAAGGCATAAATTTGTGTTTGCATTCTTTCACAGGGTCATTTTGCTGTAGATCTACGTATTACAATAGCTAAAACAACTATATGTGCAGGTGGGGGTCGATATGCTCCGAAATTTGACGTGTGACTAGTGACAGCCCTCATATACTAAAGTTTATCGTCCGTGGTCTCATATTGTTTCCCACAAAGTATGCACAGATAGTTATTTTAGCTACTTACGTACCTTGATGGCATTGTGTATAATACAGTTCTCATTAGAACTTTACATACTATGCAGAAGCTCATTGGCCTGTAACCTGTAAATAATTCGTGCAATGGCGATCACCCCTTTTTATAACGGATTTACATATGCTAATCTTCAATCATGATATTTTTGTTCGACCATTTTTCTTTTGAACAAGTTACTAAATAGTTTCAAGAGTTTGTTTCACAACTATTTTTAATACTCTGGAGAACACACTATCATGGATAGAACTTTTATAAACCTTTAGTAAAGGTAACTTTGCTTTGTGAACTCTTAGAACATGTTGAGAATTGTGAACTCTTGGTACAATCGGCCAGAGTGTTGTGATGGTACCGAGTGTGAGACTCTTTCAAGGCCAGACTTGAATAACACTGAAGCAGGTTCGGATACATTCAGGAACCAATGCATGCCCAATACTTGCCAACGGTGCATAACAGAGACGTGACTAACCACCCAAGCGGCTAACGAGCCGATCAGTCAGTGGCGAAGAGAAAAGTAAAAATAAATAAACTGTCTATACTTCACTATCATCAAAACTATGGCTAGGTTATTTGCTCCGTTTCTTGTAAACACCGAAGAGAAGAATTTATTTAGCACTATCACTTTGTCCTGGTTTAATTCTTCATAACTACCTTCCTTAAATTTGATTAACAAAGCAATAGATTTCTAAAGGGTTCGACTGTTCCTTGGCTCTAACTCTTCTTTTCTACACTGATTTCTTTTGGTATGTGAACACTGCCATGCTTGTTAGTAAAGGCGACTTAACTCTTTTAAACTTTGAGCTTTCTTTTTTATTTGGGTAAGATCAACTTGATCAATGTATAAAGATTTCCGGATTAGTCTGAACTCACAGGCTTTGGCGTGGGTATATATATTTTCATTAAGTATTTCACTTCATTCTCTTAGGAGTCTACATTCTTGTTGCTCAGTGGGCTTGAACCAAATAGTGTTTCTTGATCTTCCTTCATCTTTTTGAGAACTAACATGTAATATTTTATAATCTTAGACTTCAAGCTACAACAGTTGCGTTTCCAAATGTTTTGTATCATCACATAATTTATTTGATTAATTTTAACTATATGCAGCATTTTTGCTTATCATTTCATTTTTTTTATTCTAGCTGAGTGTGTCAGTTTGCAATATTCTTGGCCCTGTTCCTCTTGTATCATGAGGACGTGGTAATGTGTGGGTATATCAGCAGGGCAGAGTTTGGCTGTGTCCCACCTCTTATAGCGCTCTCTACAGTAGATCATTATCAGAACTTATTGATACATAAATTACTGAACAGTCCATGTGAACTTCATCTTAAATTCTATTAGATCTTATTACTTGTAATATAATAACTATTGGCCAGCCCCGAGCTATGTGAGTCACATTATACACAGGTAGTGCAATAATTTTAATGTTTCAGTTTTCATTTTTTAACACTTACTGTATTGGAAACAGGAGTACAAGGACAGGACGAGGTTCTTGTACCATAAAAGATGGTGCTTATGTCCATAAAAATACAAGATGGGTTATTTTTGTGCAGCATACTGTATGCAACTGCGTCAAATACGCACATTGTAAAGGCCTAATTTGTATAAAAATCTTTGACAGTTAATACCAAACTGCAATTAATTGAATAAAATTAAACTCATGACAAAATTGGATATTTTCTAACTTAATATTAAGATGATCAGTACCGTAGTGGCAAAATATTCGGTGAAAATATTGTTTGTGCTCACCCCTCAAATGGTAGAGGGAAGACGACACCAGTACATAGATGTTCGGCTTCTGTTGGGAGACAAAAGCATTCAGTTCAGGTTTACACAGCCACTATGTATCATTCCCGGCATGCAAAGACCCAGTCGATAATTTAGGTGCCATAATAAAACACAGTTCTGGTTCATCATAAATGGGTACTGTAATGGTGTGTTGCAGTTGTCTGTTGATATGTTTGACATTTACCTGATCTATGTGACTTCTTGGCGCTGTAAGAGTCACCTGTTACGGAAGTTATTGAACTGCTGACTGCTGACTTGCCACAGTTGTTACTTGATTGTTCATGTCATCTTGTGATGACAATCATGTAAAAGTGTTTCTAATAAAATTTATATACAGATATACACTTGAATATTTAATTCAACCACATTAAATAGTGTTGTCTTGACATGTTGCTATAATACAGTATAGTGCAGAGAAAGTATGGCTATGCATTTGTATTAGTGGAACTGGTTTTCCTCAGCATCATAACGATACTGTAATTTACACACACACACACCCTCAACCACCACAACATGGGTCCAAGTCTAGTTTTACTGTCACTTCACACACGCCAGAATCACCTAACAAAAGACTGTCCACAAAACTTACTCTATATTTGTACTTGTGTATCTAAATAAGAAAATAGTGTTACGAACCCCTCCACCAATTGTCATGATCTACCTACCCAGCACTACGAACCACGCCATCTATTGTCCTGATCTACCTACCCAGCACCACGAGCA